ACCCCCAAAACTTGACTACCTCCTAAAAATGCGGCTATTGACACACCTCCCATTAACCCAAGACTGCCTCCCCCATACACTAAATGAATCTTTCTCTCAGCTAGCACCTGACCAAGATGATTTGCTGATTCTAAAAACTCCTTTTCTTTCCCAGGACTAGATCCACCGAAAACACAAATATTTCTTATTTGATGACTTGAGGAACTTGCCATTTCTACACACTTCTGTATTTGTTGAATGTATGGGTTGAGTAGAAATGAAAGGAAGGAAAAGAGGGTTTTATAGATGAGAAATTAGAAAGGCAATCATAACACCTATATGTAGGCCAGCTGGAGTCTCACTCTCTCTCTCTCTCTCTTTTTATTTATTTATTTATTTACTTTTGAAAAAAGCATGTGTATGTACAGGGAGTTGTGATTGTGGCTCACATCTTCCCTTGGTTTTACGTCCAAGAACGGCTTAAACGCCCTTTATGGGTCGGGGATAGGCTTCCCATCCAGTTTTCTTAAAAACTGGCAAACAAGGTCTTTTTTAGTCAGATTCCCAAGACTAAGTCGATCATGTTCTTTATAAAATAGTGGCCATAAATCATGAATTGCACAATGCACATCTCCACTAGGATGCGTCTCAAGAGTCAATAGAAGATTATCTAAAGACTCCTTACTCAGGCCATCCTTAATGAATTGTATTTTATCTTCACGGTTTGTAGATACCATTCCTAAAGAACGATATTGTGTATTACAAGTCCATCTAGCACATCGATGACAGACATCCAGTCGTTTTGCACGACGCTTCTTTGCAAAAGTGCTTTTACCTGTTCCAGGCATGTGTGAAATGAAGTTAGAGGACTCACCTGATAATCGGACCTTTGCTTCAATCAACCAGCGAATATCTTCAGGAATTCCATGATTCATTAACAATCTCAATCTTGCACATCTAGCACGGTAAATTTTTGTAATCGCATTCTGAGGCAGAGCGGGAAAATACTTTTTCAATTTTTCAAGATTAGTGTCCATTTTCAAATGAGAATTGGAAGAGAGATTCAAAGAATTTCACAGATATATGCACAGATATCAGTTATTGTGGGAAACTGAAAGAACCAACTTAAGTCACAGAGTACCGTTGTCCGCCGTTTGATCGGGGTGAGAGAAACTACCAAAAATCACTCAAAAAGAAACACAAAAAACAAAATATGAGAAAAACAAAATAATCAACCTTTATCTACAAGATCATTCAAACCAGCTGATTCATTTTTGACACGATCAAAGAGTTGATGTCTTATCCCAAGTGCAGGAGTGTCAAAGTAAAATAACCCGGTAAGACCGGGGTCGAACCACAGGGAGGTGAATTATATAAATTACAAATAAAGAAAAAGATTTGAAGAGAATAATAACTGAAAAGGAGTTGAAGAAAGTTTTGGGATGTGATATTGATGTAAGGATTAAACAATAACAAAACATATGTCAAGGTTATAGGATTCACTAATGGTATTTCAAATAAATATAATATAAACTCTTTTTATTACTCAACTAGAAACCACACACAAAGGAGGTCCTAATCGGATGATTTCTCGTTATTAGCTCATTATAAATTACTAACATGATCATATTAATTATCTTATCTAAGTAATACCATACTTATAAATATCATCAAGTATTCATGTTGCTAGTTTATGTTAACAACAAATCAAGTTTCTATCATAATAACGATTTTGGCCGAAAACTATGAAAGATCAAGCATTTGATGTACCAAATATTATACAACACAAATCTAAATTAAACATTTAATAAGCAAGGCATTAAGAATTAGTAAGATAAAAAGATAAAACATGTTAATAACAATCTTTCTTGGATATAAACATTTAAAGCTCATATTGAGTTTATATTATACCTATTCTAACACCATTAGAGAAACCTTTTCACCTTGACATAATTAACTTAGCTAAACATTAAAAAGGAGAAAAACATAAATAAGCAATATAAGAACATAAACATAATATAAGCTAACTAAGTATAGGAAAGGAAATGAAAGAGCATAAACAAGAGATTACTATAGCATGAAAGAAAACTTGAACATTACAAAGATGTAGAGAGAAAGCAAGAAGATAACTTTGATCTGAAAATTAATATGACTAAATACATGGACAATGCCTCCTTTTATAGGCTAAGTTTCAGAACTATTGATTGATTGAAGAATTGGTGGGCATCCATTGATTTGGTGGCTGGTTTTTGACATTAATGGCTGCTGATTTTTTGATATTGTGGGCTGATTTTTGATATTGTTGGCTGGCCAAAACGTCATTGCTCACATCAGAATTATAGCCAACTGAATTGTGGAATCTGTGGGCAATTGTCTCAGCTTTCCATAAAAAAAAACCAGAGCTCATTTGGACTTCTAGAACTCAAGATATAAGCCAAAAACCGAATAGTGCTTGAGCTGTAGGACAGCTTCCGACGTCTTCGTTGTTGCTAAGATTTGGGCTTGAAAATGGCAGAACTGAGTCTTTGACTTCATATGAAAGTTGTAGATCTATGTCTTACCTTTCCATCGATATAAAATGGACCTAAATCTGATATCTACAGCTCCAGATATGATCAAATTAATGAACGGTGTTCGAGTTTGGAATGCACCAGCAACACTTTGCTAAGTTTGGCCTTCTTTTTATCCTTTCAATTTCAATCCTTAAACTCATCAATCAATCCTTTTATTTATGTGATAAACCTGCATTTAGGATGAACATTTACCATGAATTAAAGGTATATTATATTTTTAGACTTGCTAATATAAAACATGCTTTTGTTAGGGAATTTAATGATACTTTAGGTGCAATATGATGACATAAATCCTTAATGAGAATGCATTTTTAAGTACTAATCACACCCCCCAACCAGCTTATTACTAGTCCCTAGTAATCAAAGCATTAAAATATAAAACTAATTTGCAAATACCACAAAGCAAGGCATTCATCATTTAACTTCTATTAATCTATCCAGATAAACAAACTCTCATTAAATTTATATATCTGCTTAATACCTCTTAAACAAGATATTAGTAAACCTTCTTTCGGTGCTCAATAAATCAAAACATAGCTATAGAGCTTTTCATGGAAGAAAACAAAATTTTTGTTCTAATGTTTAAAGTTAACTTCCTTGGGTTGGGATTGTTATCTTTTTTTTTCTCTTTTGTTTTTTTTAAAAGCAAGAATTTATAGCACAATGTATCCTGAACCCATGTAACGAGCTTTCGGCTAATGACTCCCAGACCAGTTGGTCTTAGGGCATCAGGTGTTGAGACACCCCTACGAGCTTAGTAACTCGGGTTGCAAATACTGATATGTAGATAGTGCAGTGTTTGATTCCCTTAAGCTTTCTCCTCAACCCATGTAACAAGCACTGGGCCAATAACTCCCAAGTCAGTTGACTTTAGGGTACTAGGTGTTCAAACACCCCTTCGGGCTTATTTGCTTAAGTCAAGGAGGCTACGAAACCAAACTTATCTACTTTGTTTTTATTTTCTTTTTAATATTATGCTAAGCATAAAATGTGACCAAGTACAATGCCGTTTGTTACCATAAAATTTTTATTATTTTTTTTTGTTTTTTTTTTTTTTTTGCATATTATATACTATCCCTTTCCCTTAGTTGTTACCTTTAACAAAAGAACACAAATAATGTAATAATCCAATGTGCAACCCACAATCATATGTTCGAGTGTGTGTGTGAAAATGAAGGTTTAGAAATACTTGTTAGATGAGCATATAAACAGAATCTATAGATAACAATCCAAGAGTTTGTAAACCTAAATATTTCAAGAAGTATTATAATAGACCTTGTTAAGAATGTTTACTAAGATGCGTCTCAAGAGTCACTAAAGTTCCTCCGTTACTCTGCCATCCTAGTAACAATAGTTTTGCAAATGGTTTAAATAATAGAAAATAAAGTTACGTAATAATTTTTTTTTTTTTTTTAATATCCACTACTACCCTCTCCCCCCAACCAAAACGAGACATTGTCCTCAATGTTCTAAGCAAAAAGATAGAGTGTAGAAGATATCACCTGAAACAGCGACTATTGACAAACCTGAAACACACTAAAACAAATATAAGAAACAACAAAACACAAATATTATGCTATTAATAAAACCAAAAGACACAATTTTTCACAAACTAAGGCTCAAATCCAATTTAAGCTTTTTATGGCGTTTCATGTTTGACCAATTGAGTTGACTCATGGAGGGATCAATTACAGGGATGAAAGATTGTAGTTGGTCAATCAATTGTTCAGCAGTAGCAGCAGAGATTATGATTTGTCGTGCCGAAGATGTTAGAAATTCCTGTTCCACAGCTTGATCAAGAAAAGATAACAAATTATCATAAAAACCATTAACATTTAACAAACCTATAGGTTTATGGTGAATGTTCAGTTGGGCCCAAGAGGAAATATGAAAGATCTCTTCCAATGTACCTAGACCACCTGGTAAGGCAATGAAGGCATCGGCATGGTTAAACATTGTATTCATTCTATCAGACATTGTAGAGACCTGTAATTCCTCTCCAATTGTTTTTCCAATGATGTCCCCTTCGGCTAAAGCTTTGGGGACAACCCCCAAAACTTGACTGCCTCCTACAAATGCAGCTATTGAAACACCCCCCATTAACCCAAGACTGCCTCCCCCATACACTAAATGAATCTTTCTCTCAGCTAGTACCCGACCAAGATGATTTGCTGATTCTAAAAACTCTTTTTCTTTCCCAGGACTAGATCCACCAAAAACACAAATAGTTTTTATTTTAGGAACAGAGGAACTTGCCATTTCTACACACTTCTATATATGCTGAATGAATGGGTTGAGTAGAAATGATGGGAAGGAAAAGAAGATTTTATAGATGAGAAATTGAAAATGCAAAGCATACCACCTATAGGTAGACTAGTTGAAGTCTTACTCTCTCTCTCTTTCTTATTTATTTATTATTATTATTATTTTATTATATATATATATATATAAAACAAATATGTATGTACAAGCAGTTGTGATTGTGGCTCACAGCTTTCCCTTGGTTTTACGTCCAAGAACGGCTTAAACGCCCTCTATGGGTCGGGGATAGGCTTCCCATCCAGTTTTCTTAAAAACTGGCAAACAGGGTCTTTTTCAGTCAGATTCCCAAGACTAAGTCGATCATGTTCTTTATGAAAATGAGGTCATAAATCATGAATTGCACGATGCACATCTCCACTAGGATGCGTCTCAAGAGTTAATAGAAGATTATCTAAAGACTCCTTACTCAAGCCATCCTTAATGAATTGTATTTTATCTTCACGGTTTATAGATACCATTCCTAAAGAACGACATTTTGTATTACAAGTCCATCTGGCACATCGGTGACAGACTTTTAATCGTTTTGCACGACGTTTCTTTGCAAAAGTGCTTTTACCTGTCCCAGGCATGTAAGAAATAAAAGAGTTGGAAGACTCACCTGATAATCGGATCTTTGCTTCAATTATCCAGCGAATATCTTCAGGAATTCCATGGTTCATTAACAACCTCAATCTTTCACACCTAGCACGGTAAATTTTTGTAATCGCATTCTGAGGCAGAGCAGGAAAATACTTTTTCAATTTTTCAAGAGTGGTGTCCATTTTTGTTTTGTTTTGTTTTTAAAGAGAGGTCAAGAAGAGATGTAAAGAAAAGAGAAGGAACAAGGAATTGAACAAATATATACAGAGTTATCAATTATCATGGGAAACTGAAAGAACCGACTTAAGAGTCACGGAGTACCGTTATCCGCCATTTGACCGGGGTTGGAGAAAGACTAGCAAAACAAAAGTCACACCAAAAAGACCTTGAAAACATTACCATTCTTTGGATTCTCAATATCAAAGGCCCCATAAGGATATACATGTTTCACAACAAATGGACCGCTCCATCTTGATCTTAGCTTTCCAGGAAATAAATGGAGTCGAGAATTATAAAGCAAAACTTTTTGACCAACATCAAATGTTTTTCTCAAGATTCTTTTATCATGAAAGTCTTTGATTCTTGCTTTATGAATTTTTGAATTCTCATATGCATCATTTCTTATTTCTTCAAGCTCATTTATTTGTAACTTACGCAGCTAACTCGCATCATCCAGGTTTGAATTGAAAGCTTTAATAGCCCAATAAGCTTTGTATTCAAGTTCCACAGGCAAATGACAAGGTTTTCCATAAACCAACCTATAAGGTGACATACCTAATGATGTTTTAAAAGCAGTTCGATAGGCCCATAGTGCATCATTAAGTCTTAAAGACCAGTCCTTTCGATTAGGGTTCACTGTTTTTTCCAAGATTTGTTTGATCTCCCTATTAGCAAGTTCTACTTGTCCATTTGTCTGGGGGTGATAAGGGGTGGCAACTTTGTGTGTGATTCCATATTTCTTCATTAAAGACTCAAATGGCTTGTTACAGAAATGTGTTCCACCATCACTTATCATGGCCCGAGGGATTCCAAATCGACTCAAAATGTTTTCTTTCAAAAACTTAATGACTGTTTTATGATCATTGTTACGACTTGGAATTGCTTCTATCCATTTTGAAACATAGTCTACTGCGACTAATATGTACACAAAACCAAATGATGGAGGAAATGGACCCATAAAATCTATACCCCAACAGTCAAAGATTTCAATGACAAGAATAGTACTTAAAGGCATCATGTGACGTTTTGAAAGAGATCCTAACTTTTGACAATTTTCACAAGTCTTGCAGAATGCATGCGTGTCCTTAAACATGGTGGGCCAATAAAATCCACATTGTAAGATTTTTGCAGCTGTCTTTTTTGATGAAAAATGACCCCCACATGCCTCAGAATGACAAAATTTAATGACATTACTTACCTCATTGTCGGGAATGCATCTTCGAAATATTTGATCAGGACAATATTTGAATAAATAAGGGTCATCCCAATAAAAGTTCTTCACTTCGTTCAAGAACTTTCTTTTGTCTTGGGTGCCCCAATGCGCTGGCAAATGTCCTGAAACAAGAAAATTAACAATATTAGCAAACCAAGGCATTGTAGTGACAGAAAGTAAAGATTCATCAGGAAAGTAGTCATCGATTGGTGTGATGTCAGATTTCGAATCAGTTGCCAATCTTGACAAATGATCCGCGACAACATTTTCGGTGCCTTTCTTATCCTTGATTGTGATATCGAATTCTTGAAGTAACAAAATCCACCGCACCAATCTAGCTTTAGAATCCTTCTTGGAAAGAAGATATTTCAACGCTGCATGATCGCTAAAAACAATAACAGGTGAGCCAACAAGATAAGATCTGAATTTTTCACACGCAAATACTACAGCAAGTAATTCTTTTTCAGTGGTTGTGTAATTTATTTGAGCACTATTTAAAGTTTTACTTGCATAGTAAATGACATAGGGTTTCTTATCTTTTCTTTGTCCTAAAACAGCACTCACGGCATAATCACTAGCATCACACATTATTTCAAAAGGTAATGACCAATCAGGAGGTTGAATAACAGGAGCAGATGTAAGCAGGTTTTTAAGTTTAACAAAGGCTTCTTCACAATATTTAGTCCATTCAAAAACATTATCCTTTGTTAGAAGGTTACACAATGGCTTAGATATTATACTAAAATCTTTGATAAACCTTCTATAAAAACCAGCATGTCCTAAAAATGATCTAACATTTTTAACAGATTTTGGTGTTGGCAAGTTGGCAATTAACTCAATTTTAGATTTATCAACCTCAATTCCTATTGATGAAACAATATGACCAAGTACAATGCCGTTTGTTACCATAAAATGACATTTTTCCCAATTCAACACAAGATTCTTCTCTTCACACCTGTTCAAAACCTTTTCCAAATTAGTTAAACAATTATCAAATGAATCACCAAAAACAGAAAAATCATCCATAAATATCTCAAGAAAGCGTTCAACCATATCACTGAATATGCTAAGCATGCATCTTTGAAACGTGGCTGGTGCATTACATAATCCAAAACGCATCCTTCGATATGCAAATGTACCAAATGGACATGTGAAAGTAGTTTTCTCTTGATCTTCAAATGCAATTTCAATTTGGTTGTAACCTGAATAACCATCTAGGAAACAATAAAATTCATGACCTGCAACTCTTTCTAGAATTTGATCCATGAAAGGTAAAGGAAAGTGATCTTTTCTAGTCATTGAATTAAGTTTCCTATAGTCAATGCACATGCGCCAACCAGTAATAGTCCTCGTTGGAATTAACTCATTTTTCTCATTTGTTATCACAGTAACTCCAGACTTTTTAGGTACAACTTGGGTAGGACTTACCCATTTGCTATCAGAAATAGGATAAATGATTCCATTATCTAGAAGTTTAATGACTTCATTCCTCACTACTTCTTTCATATTAGGATTAAGCCTTCGTTGCATTTCTCTAGAGGGTTTAGCATTTTCCTCCAAATAAATCTTGTGTGTGCAAATCAAAGGACTAATTCCTTTTATGTCAGCTATGGTCCATCCTAATGCATTTTTGTGCATTTTAAGAGTTTGTAATAACTTACCTTCTTGATGAACATTAAGTTTGGAAGAAATTATTACCGGAAAAGTTTCATTTTCTCCCAAAAATGAGTATTTGAGATTACATGGTAATGGCTTCAAATCGGGTTTTGGTGGTTGAACACTTGAAGGTATGGACCCAATTGATCGTGGTGGCAATTCCTCAATTTTTGGTCTCCAAATATTTGCCTTTGATTCTTCCTGAAAACAAACCATTTGCAAATCTTCAGATTCATTAAACTCAATTTCATTGGAAGAATTTTCAAATTGATCGTAAATTATTTTTTCAATAAAATCTACTTCCTGTAAATCATTATCATCTCCAGGTTGCTTGCAAATGTTAAAAACATTCATTTTTAATGTCATGTTTCCAAAAGATAACTTCATCACTCCATTCCTACAATTAATCAATGCATTAGAAGTTGCAAGAAATGGACGTCCTAAAATAATAGGAATTGAATTGCATGCTTCAACAGGTTGTGTATCCAAGACAATAAAATCCACAGGAAAGATGAATTTATCAACTTGTACTAACACATCTTCAACTATTCCTCTAGGCATTTTTATAGATCTATCAGCAAGTAAAAGAGTAACAGAAGTAGGTTTTAACTCACCTAAATTGAGACTTTGAAAAACCGAATATGGAAGTAAATTCACACTAGCTCCAAGATCAAGTAAAGCTCTGTCAATTTTATGTTCTCCAATAAAGAAAGAGATTGTAGGACAACCAGGGTCTTTATATTTCAAAGCATTATTATTTTGAAGAATGACACTTACTTGTTCGGCTAAGAAGGCTTTCTTTTTCACATTCAATTTTCTCTATACAGTGCATAGATCTTTCAAAAATTTAGCATAAGATGGTACTTGTTTAATAGCATCTAGCAAAGGTATATTAATCCTTACCTGTTTGAAAGTTTCAAAGATTTCAGAATTATGATTGATTTTCCTTTGTTTGGTCATGGCATGAGGAAATGGAAGTGTTGGCGAAGAATCACTCTCTTCTTTGCAATGATCAGGTTCAACCATTTCCTTACCCTTGGAGACTAACTCACCTTCTTTCTCACAAGGTTCAAGAATGGGTTTTTTAATAACCTTACCACTGCGGAGAGTAGTGACTGATTTGACTTGATCTAGATGTTGGCTTCCAGAATTGCTTGTACTTGAATGGTATTGCCCCTTGGGATTTTGCTGGGGTTGAGATGGAAACTTACCTTTCTCCTAAAAACTGAGAGCAGATGTGAACTTTGCAAGAGTATCTTTCAAATCAGCCATGGTTTGAGCATTTTGAGTGTTGATTGTCTCTTGCTTTTCAATGAATGCATGTAATGTTTCCTCAAGATTTCTTCTAGGAGGGGGAATATAAGGAGGTGCATATCCATGAGAATTTTAAAAATTATGTTGTGTTTGAAATGGTGGCTGTGAAGTTTGTGCATTATTGTTACCACTCTTCCAACTGAAATTTGGGTGATTTCTCC